TTTTAATATTTAATAAATTGAAGAAAACATGTTCCGCGGTATTAGAACTTGGGAATATAATTGGCTGAGGAACTGGAGAGTAATAATTTAAATTCCCTCTGCATTTTCTGAATAGTCTCGGGGTCATCAAACCCATGAATATTTTAATAACAAACAATTATAAGATTATAGTACGAATTTATACTATTTTCACAATTTCAACCTTCAATATTCTAAAATAATTATCGCACCTGTAATTAAAGAATTTGATAAAGAATTCTTCGTTATTAAACAGAGAGAATTACATGGTAATAATTACAAGGTGATATGTGTAATAATTGCAAATTATTATTAAATAACTCAACACTTTTCAAATAATTCCATATTTTTCCATTATTGTTAAGGCAGTCATTTTAATTTATCAATAATTGTGTTTAATTATTTATTTATTTGTTTATCAATACAAGTAAACAAATATTTCTTAAAATACCTTTTTTCCCAGTGTATAGGAATTTTAACCATTTAATTTTCTCCGTGTAGTTGATTGCAATATCATACGGTATGTACTGAGAGTATATATGTGTGCGTTTTCGTCTGATCCCGAATGTCAAAGGCCACGATGCCTCGGCGCGTAACTTGAATTCATCTCCAAGTGTTCTTCCTTTCTGTTCAAAGCTTCCACGAAGAAGACCCGTCATTTTTTTGTATACAATATAAGGAATACATAAAGAGATCACGAGCGTGAGGAGATATACGTGGACACTAGGGTCACGGCTGTCTCTATTTTTTTTATATTTGAATAATCATGATCGAAGAATGGATTTATTGAAAATATTGACGATAGAAAGAAGGAGGAAATCGGAGAGAGAAGATTCGTGCCACTCGGTCATTGGTGAATGTACCGGTGTACCTTACCGTTTCGTTCCGTACATCGCCATCGTCCGGGTACATATCCTTACTACCCTATCAACTATCACCCACATGATAGACCAAAGAAATATCACCAGGTATTACCATATTCCACATAGAATATCTTGTTCCAATATTAGCCAATAAAAATCTATCGTGCAAATTAAGGTTTCTCAAAATATTAGTGTGGACGTTGCTGTTTTGGAAACTTTTGTTACTCGCGGACATGTACTTGCGGTGAGAAGCTACATATATGTAGATAGATCGATTGCATACCTAGATAAGAATTATATGGACTGACGATGGGAATGAGACGGTAAAGGGGTCTAGGTTTGGCGAGGCTAAGTGACTCAGATGGGAGACAGGATTTATTTCGTCGCTCAATTTACTTTGGAAATCGCAGGTTTAAACAAAGTTTAAAACCCACTCGCCCGCACGGCTTTCGATAATCAAAAATGTTATTAACAATGGGAATTCAATGTTTAGGAAACATGAATTATGCGGATTTTTTTTGTGAGCACTCGGTTTTGGGGCGCGCTTTACGCGGCGATAATAATGATGTGAATTAAAAAAAAAATTATTTAATAAATAAAATCGATAACAATATATTCAAAATTTTCTATGAATATTTTTTCATTCAGTAATGAAAGGACATAACTAATGTATTGAGTTTAGTTAATACAATTATATTAAAAAAAATTCAATTACAAATTTTCTAAAATGCGGATTTAAAAATATTTATACATATGTATATGTACATATTATGATTATTTAAAAACCATTTTCAGAAGCTAAGAATGGGCCAATTTACGATTTTTTTACAAATATTCAAGATATCATTTGCAATGTAAATTTTTACGTATGGACTGAGTATTCAGACTCAATACGTAAAAGATTTAATTTTGCCTGAGTAAGTCCTTAGAAAGTT